CCAGAGAGGAGAGACAAAAGAACCCAACCGAAAACAGGATGCTATGCCAAGACAAGAAATGAGACCAAAAGAAAGCAAAACACAACAAGATCAGGACCCTCAAGCCTTCACTCATCATCATCTCTTCCCTCCAAGCCATCAATCATAGCCCGACCCGGCTTCCTCCCAGCCCCATAAACCAGCTCCATAAGCTTCGCCTTCTGCCTCTCCCGAACAGTCCGCAGATAATCATACGTCCCCTCTAACCCACGGATCTGCCCATCGATAACCGCCTCAACAGGCCCAAGCATGCGGCCCGGAGAGCCAGAATGGGAATTCTGGCTCCCCCCGCCCCCATCAACCGACCCAACAAAGCTAACAGAGTCATTCCGACGCACAAGCGGGCTAACCAACTTCCTGCGTAGCGTCTCAAGATTAACCTTCAGCGTGAGCAGCCGGCCGCGGTGGTCGACGAGGAGGTGTTTATTCGCGACAGTGCGGCTGCGAACATTCGCGAGGAGTTTCTTGTTCTTCTCGTATTTGCGAACAGCCGCGGCGTCAGGCCCCAGCACCCGCGTCCACAGGGAAGAGAGCATCTCGCCCTCTGCGCGTTCCTGGGCGTCTGATTCGCGGACGACCGTGCGCTGAAGATTGAGGAATTGGCGGTCTATGGACTCGAAGAGCGCGAAGAGAGCGGTTGAGTGGCTGAGTTCGCTGTTTATTGATTCTTCCAGCACGGAGAGGAACTCGGTGAAGGTGCGGGTTAGCGTTGTGCGCGTGCGCTGCGCGGAGGTTGGCCCGAAGACGGCCATTACGAGGTGGCCGAGGGGAGTAGTTGTTGTTGAGGTTGCGGAGACGCCGTTGTCGGAGATCTGGGCTGAGCGTTCGAGCGCGCCGAGGCGTGAAAGCATGTTATGCATGTTGTCGAAGACTATTGTGGGGAGGGTGCTTGGGGGCTGGGCGGAGAGGGTTTCTAGCTCGCGTTTGGCCCAGTCCATTACTATGAGGATGGAGTCGATGTCAGAGTCGACGTTTGCGAAGAAGCGAGTTAGCTCGAGGGAGAGGGACTTTAGGGAATCGGAGAGCTCGTCTAGTTGGCGCACAATTATGGGTGCGCTGGTCATGTTTGTACCGCGAACGGACTCACTCAGGTCCCAGACTGCGACGCCGGTTTCTTGCAGGGTGCCGATCTGCTGAACGCCGTTCTCCGAGTAGTATATCAGTGGTTCGAAGGAGCGCGCGAAGCCGGATAGCTTTACTAGATCGGGAATCGATTGTGGGAGGCCTGGGAGAACCAGGGCGCGCATGAATGCGACTGAAAGGAGGAGGATTATGACAGATAAGGTGGTGTTAGACTTGGAGCTGGTTATGCGCTCGAACTTTGAGCGCAGGTAGCCAAACATCGCGGCAATAGGTTCTCGGTGCTGGACTTCTGCACGCACTGCAAAGCGAATGTCTTTATTCATTCACAACAATCGTTAGTATACCCGCGCCTGCAACTGAAAACAGATCAGACAGGGCCTACAGTTGCTCAGATTCTCCGTACCAAACCCCACCCCGTCGTCCTCGGGACTGTGACAGGGTGTGCGCCCTGTACTCGGGGCCGGAGGCGGACTTGGGGATCGTCCGTGGAGGGGAGTATCTGCACCCGCCGGTAGAGGCACATTAGCCGCGACAGATACGTCGCCCGGGGTAGCGCGATCGACCTGTCTACTCTTCGTGGGGCCCTCGAGCGCATCCTCGTACTGTGGACTTGGCTCCCGCGACTGGGACGGGGAGACGCTGAGTCCAATTGTTGGCTTCAGCTGTAAGCGATCCGCATTGAGGTTATCCTTGCGCAGGTACGGCTGGTGGCGGTACCATCCACTGCCCTGGACGTATTCGGCTTGATGGAAGCCTGGGGGTGACCAGCGCTCCTGAGAGGGGTCCTCGATCTCTCCATCATCCCCATCCGAGTCTTCAGATCGGAACCCGGAGTGTTGAGACGGCAGGCCGAACATTGGGGACCTGTGGGGATTGGTATTGTTCTCGAAGTCTTCGAGCGACGCGTCCAGGGATGGATGGTCGTCGAAGACGTTATCTAACTCGTCCAGCATCCCGGACGGCGTGGCGCGATGGTCGCGCCTCAGAAGAAGAGGCACTGCAGTTCTCAGCGACAAAGCGCAGATCAATGCTAAGAGTGAGGAACACTTGCGGTCGAAGCACTTCGACTCCTTGGGTAAACTAGAGTGGTTAGTATACGCGCTGGGACGGTGTCTCCTGCGCTAGCCGTTACAGAAGATATTTGAGCAATCAACCCGACGCCAAAGATGCGATAAGGTATGATGCGATGCGATGCGACAAGGCAGGTATTGGATTCTAAAAGGCAACACAGGATCTTTCTGAGATAAGCGCATTCGATAGTTGATGTTGGACAAGATGCGATCAGGCAACACGCTGGAGATTAATATGGAACTGGGATCGAAACGCCTCGTTGAGCAAAGCAGGGAATCAGGAATGAGAAGACAAGAAAGCATGCGTCCCCTCACTTGTATCCAAGTCGAGGAGGTTGGGCCAATCAGTCTAATCCCTGCTGGTCATGTGCTGAGACTCGAGGCCAACAAGGTGTGTACACATCAGATACCGAAAAGGTACGACTATGCTACTGGACGAGTACTTCAAGTTTGTCTGGTTTCTGCAGCCAGTACCGAGGTACTATCCAAGTACCCTCAAGTATCTCCGTGCCTGACCGCCCATGTCCGCCCAATCGATACAGCCAGGACCACCAACCAATCATAAGTCAGATCTCCATGATAATCCGAAGAATCTCAAACACTTGGAATAGACTTGCATGATCCCTGTTTGCAGTGCGTTTGTTCTATCAAAAGAATATCAAAAGAGGAGAAGATCGAATCTATTTTGGGTCATGGAAATTGTAATAAAAATACAGGCCCGGTGCCTTGGGAGACCCCGTAATCACCCCATGGCACCATTATCCCAGACTTCTATGGGGAGAAACAGGAAAAAAAAAAGCCGGGGAATAAAAAAGAACATCAGGTCGTTTATGCGGTGTTATCCTTGAGGTAGCTATGGGCTTGTCAGTTTTGTGTTCAGGGGGGTGTGGAGTCGCGGGTAACGTACGTGATGAGATCGTTGCGCTCCTTGGTCTTCTTCAGACCACCGAAGGCCATCTTGGTACCGGGGATGTACTTCTTGGGGTTCTCGAGGTAGGAGAACTATGGAGGCATCGTTAGCGCGCGATCGGAGATAAGGTGAAGGTGGCAGTTGGCACTTACCAGAGTGTCCTCGTTCCACTCAACACCGGCCTGCTTGTTGGCGTCGGTGTAGGCGTATCCCTCGGCGGAACCGGTCTTACGGCCGAAGAGACCGTGAAGGTTGGGGCCGACCTTGTGAGGACCGCCGGCCTCAACGGTGTGGCACTGGGCGCAACGGGTCTGGGAAAAGAGCTGTTAGTTTCTCTATCTTTTTTTTTCTGCAAGTGAAGCGGTAATGAACTTACCTGGAAGAGCTTGGCACCCTTGGTGGCGTCACCTGGAGAGGAGCGGAGGTTAGCGATCCTGTCGGCTTCTTTTTTGGCTTCTTCAATGAGGGCGGTTTCCGCACGCTCGGCCTCGCGCATGTCAATGGTCGTCAGGGTGCAGAATACATCAAAGGTAGTCATGTTGGATAATTCATGCGCGGTGTCTTGGGAAAGGGTGCGGTGATCCGCAATTGAGAGGTGATTGGGTTGAAGAGTCGCAATGGTAGTAAAAGCGAGGAAGTGCTGTAAACCATCGCCCAAAGTAGGTAACAAGCAGTGTTGCCATTTCAGGAGTCGGAATACTCTCACTTCCTTCCTTCAATCTCCATGGCGCCTCCCCGTTCAACCTTTCAGCTCAATGGGGGAAGGTAGCTTACCAGGAGCGAAAGCTTCTTGCTTCTTAGGAGGCATTGTAAAGTATTATGAAAGGATAAAAAAAGAGGATATTATGACACTGTACTGTACAGAAAATTCTGGGAAGGGAGAAAAAGAAAATCTGGTTATTTGTACTTGGTCCCGACGCTCTCTCTCGTAATCTGCCGCTCCGCCAATCAGAAGTCAGATGATTCAGGTGAACGGGCGCAACCGGAATCTTCGGTGTGGCTGTTGTACTTTGACCCTTACACTCCTAGATACTTGTTTCTGTTCTCTTGCTTGCACCTCAGGTCCAATTGCTTGGAACTACAACTGGCAGCTCGCCCGTGGCAAAGAACCAACTTGCACCCTCTATCTGCCATATCCCGCCCCCATGATCTCATCACTCATCATCACTTTGGGTACCTAGTTAGGTAGCTCAGAACGGGTTCCTGACTAACTTGCTTGTGCATATGCATGGAAGCTTCACAAACAAAAACACTCAATTCCTCTTGCCCATGGCGACCGCGGTCTTCCGCGCGGTCACCCTTCTCCCCCTGGAGAACTGGAGCAACTTCCCGATCCACCACGGCTTCGAAATGGCAGGGTTCTCATTCGCTCAAGCTGGCCGGTGGTCCGATGTGTGGATCCTGAGGCAGAAACGGTTTATTCTCGATTCATTCTCGGCAATGAATGCAATTTAGCCTGTTGCCGAGGTTGCATTAGACTTGGACAATGATCCATTAGGTTGGTTTATATCTTCCGTAGTACCTAGAAAATGGCTCGGACTATGTTGTACAGCTTAAAGCTATTCTCAGACAATTTCAATTGGTGGGAAACATGGGAAATAATGGGTACTAAGCCATGCGAATATTTCCCAAGGTCGAGTGATCTTATAATTTTTTTTCTCCCCGAAAATAGTTAGGATATGCGGTCAGCCAGGTGAGACTCAATCGGCATCCGACATCCCGAGTCACGTGATATAAACTCTTCTCCAAAAATTGCATCTACGGTTCCACATCTAGATAAAGTCAACAAGATCGTCCAACCCCTCCACACGAGCAAAAGGGCAAGAAAGCCATTTCCAGAATGCCCACCCCAATCCCGGGCTTCCTCCTCCCGCGAGGCCCACCCTCAGCGTTGACCTTTCGCGCCCTCCAACGCCAAAGCGCGCGACGCAGCTTCACCTCGACCAGTGCCGCATTGAAGAAAGCCAGCAAAAGCCACACCAATGCCAATTCCAAGCCCCGCATCCTCGCAAAGCCCGACAGATTCCGCCCACCCTCTCACCCCCAGCGCCTCACGACTCCATCTCCGAAAAACGCACCCCCCGGCCAACCATTCGAGTATGGCCCGCGCACGACGGAGAAAGAGCGCATTCAGCAAAGCAAGACGCAGTACCCGGGCATGTTCCCGCCGGAGGGAACAGTGATGTTTAAGTTCCTGACGAGCAAGTGGATCCACATTTGGATTGCGATGGTGAGTTCCCGGCACAGACCTAGCTCGGAGATACAAAAATGGTCTCCAACAGAATCGACTAGACAATTCACTAACCAACAATAGAGCGTCCTGATCTCCTGCGCCGGGTTCACCTTCACAACCAACTTCAAAGCAACCTCACCGTTCGCCCACCTGCTACCATCCTGGTCGGGTCTGCTGACGTCGCCCATCGACACGATCTCGCAGGCATTATCTGTGTGGCGCATGCATGTGCAGCACAACTCGATGCGCGTGCGGGAGCAGCGACACCGTCGCGTTGAGGATGCGGAGAAGAGGAAGCAGTATCGTGTTGCGCATGGGCTTGAGGAGGCTGAGCCTGAGAAGAAGGATGAGGGTGGTAATGAGGTTGATTTGCAGTCACCTGTTGCTGCTGTTGAGGGCGCGGAGGGTAAGAACGAGTTTGTTGATTGGGATGGGAATAAGAAGCCCGTTAAGAAGTGGTTGGGGATTTGGTGATTGTTATTCCCTACATACATAACATTGGGGTCGGCTGTTCCATTTATATCTACTGGTGATATAGCTAAGTATAGCATATGCTACATATACTGTCTATATGGTTTGGCTGTGGGTATGTATCGATGGGTCCTACATGAGGGACGTTCGGACACCACTCCAGCAGTGACAATGGTGTAAATGGAGTTCTATCCATTTTGTACCTTAGGGACTTTCAGTCCAGCTACGATAGGAAGGTTATCTCAACTTCAATCGAATCAACGAGCAACACAAACGATTTACTCAAAAGACAACGCTTTCCTCCAAACTCCAGAAGCAGCGAACTCAGATATCAAAATCGCAACCGTAAAGTAATGCTGTGCTTTATTACTCGTACACGGCCATGAGAAATGTATCAAAATAAGAAAATCATTGCACTTCGACCCCCTCTAGTCCCTCTAGAACCTCCTCCCCAACACCGCCCTTACCGAGGACAGTCTTGACCATACGTGCAATGACACTGCGCTTAACACCGCCTCTGCGCGGACGCCAGACACCCTCAACCTCCTCCTGGCCACCAGACTCCTCGCCAGGCGCCGCAGTAGCACCAAGCATATTCACATTTTCGGAATTGGGGATACCAGGCTGAGTGAGGCGAGAGGGGGGATCGATCGAGCGGATGGAGAGCAATTTCAAAGCCTCAGAGTCACTACTGCGCGTAAGAGAGATGGCCAGGACGGCGTCCGCGACGGCAATTTCTTCACGGTTGGGGTCGAAGATGACGTTTTCACCAACGGAGATCACGAGCAGCGTTACGGGTGGGCGGACGGGGTATGATGGTGCGGCGGAGGGCGAAGATTTTGAAGTATTGGAGCGCGGGTAGAGATACTCCGCGGCGGCCCAGTCATCGTCGAAGAAGGGGTCTTCTTCACCGGTGGACTTGAGTTTCGGTAGCTTAGTGCTGAGGAGGGCGAGGTGGGTTGTGAGCGAGAGGAGGGGGAGGGGGTATGCGAGAGGTTGAGAGAGGAGCAGGACCTAGAGATAACATGTTAGCAGTGATCAAATCATACCTTAGGAACCATAAACCCCAAAGACAGAAACCATTCCGAGAAACTTACATCAATGTACAAGCGCCAATGCCACCGCTTGTTAATAACAAGCCTCCCCTTCAATCCACCGGCCATCTCCTTCACACCATCTTCATTCCCACCAGCAACAGAACCGACTAGACTCTCCCGCATCATCTCACTCAGAAACACAGGCAGGGCATCATCGTCCCTAAACCCGGGGATCTCAATCGACATCTGAACCCACTCTCCCTGCCCCGAGACAGCCGCTGAGCCCTCTTCGCCCTCGCGGTTTAGTGCATCGCCATGCTGCGCAAGACTGCGCGAGTCGAGCGTGTCGGCTGCCAGAACAGTCTTCTCGACTTCTGCTTTCACGCCGACGATCGCTTGCGTGCCGTCTGCGAACCCGATGCGCGCGCTGCCGTTCGTGCCGGGCAGGATGGTGGTCTCGGCGGAGAGAGGGCGGAATTGTGTGGGTGAGCGGCCGTCTGGTCGGATTGGGTTCTTGGGGAGGCTGAGGGAGGTGTAGAGGTAGGAGAGTTCGGCGGGTGAGAGGTGGGGGACTTGAGAGGCGGAAGAGGCTTGTCTTTGACTTGACATTTTGGCGGGTTTGGTGTTGATTTGGTGGGTGGCGGTAAAATAGGTTCCCGTCTTTTGGAGGATAGAGCTGGAGTTCGGTTGCGCGAGGTTAAGCTCGTAGCTGTTGGCGGGCGGTTTGATTTTGTGGTGATCGGCCCGCGATTTGTGAGAAGTGCTTACCGGAGCGCGTGCTGGATGTGCTAAGGTGTTGCTGACCCGGATTTCAAGCTATGGCCAGTCTAGTTTTCGCCGGTGAGGTCGTACTAGAGAGCAATTGAGGTGAAGAGAAAAAAAGGTTGGTAGAGTCGAGCAGAGCAGTCTCAATCAGGAAATCTTGATGGGCAACGGATGATCGTTGTTCCGCCGATATCGATTCATGTGAGAAGTATAGATGCAATGTGATTTTTTATACTGTCTAATCTCGAGATAGAATGGCCAGTCTTCTACTATATATTAATTATCTGCATAGGTCCAAACTACAGTCTTTTAGCCCAACAACCCCACCTTCCCACGCTGTCCATCATTTTCCATTGCCACCGGCTCCCCATACCAGCCAGCCAATTCGGTGGATCTGAGAGAAAATGTTAAACAAGCTTACGAAAAGAACAACTATAAGGTATTAGTATAAGTTTCGAGTAGATTCAATGCATATGTAGTAAGATGTATGTATGGGCATGGCACAACAGCCAAAGGCGGAGGTATATTACAAGAGTAGAACGGACTGGATCCAAGCCAGCGCGCCGAGGGAGGGTGAGGAAATTATACGAGAAACCGAAGCGGGAGGGCTATGACAGGAATATGTAAATGCAGGGATAGATAAGTGATCGAAAAATGATAGACAAGAAGAATAAAGAGGGAATGGCTGTAGCCGGACAATGTACAAGCGGGGGAGAGGGGAAGAATTATATAGACAAAAGAAAAAGAGCGCAATATTCATCGAGAATGCGTGCAAATGTGCAGTTCCGATATCAGACATATCGGATGAAGAGAAGGTGAGGAATACCTAATAAGGTAGAGGGAAATGCGGTATATGATGCGACTCGCGCATGTGGTATCAAATGTCAAGGAAAGAAATCACGCCCCAGGTAAACAATAAAACGAAAGGACTCCATGAAAAGGAAAATGAAACGAGGCCCGGGTCCATCTATAAAAGGGCTGTAGGGGTATGAATGTTGGGGAAAGGAGAAACTTGCAAAGAGGGCGAAAGCC